GGCTCGTTTAATAAAAAGGCTTCAGGCTTCAATTCAAAAGTTCGACCTTAGGGTCTCTCAGGCTGACCTAGTATATTAATTTTTTTATTGTATATTTTTTATACTACTTGTAATAGCTCTCTTTCTCTCCTCAATCCATTTCACCCCATTTTATTGGTTAAACAGATTTTTTTGAATGATTTTGTTCTATATTATGCTGTTTAGATATACATTGAATTTATGAATATTTATGGAACTACTAGTGTTGTTGATTGTATATTCTGTTTGGATAAATTTTTGTTATCTTATTTTTTTAAACAGGCTAAACCAAGCTTTTATTTTTTACAAATAAGTCAAGCCACAAGCCGATAATTATATTCATAACAGGTAACAGGCTTGGTCAGGCTGACGCATTTAAACACAGACTTTAGCCTTTTAAAACCCAATCTCGGCTCGGCCCGACCCGTTAACATCCCTAGTTATATGCTGTTTCATTGCGTGATCCGAGATCACAGAAAACGTGAAGAAAAATACTATATTACGTATGTTATCAGTAGTCCTGATAATTTGACATTTTATGAATATCTTTCCCCTTGACATGAAATTTTATTTTAGAAACGAGATGAACAAAAAATATTTGTTTTGATTGAATTAATGTTTTGAAGCTCCCATGTTCTATTAATGACATACATACTTGACTTGGGAGTTCTCGTCACAGGCCAACTGCTAGTAGCTGAAACGCAAATAGTTCTAGGTGGGCACTGGACCCGTATTAAAAGCCCAACTTTTGTTTTATGACCCGAGCCACACCCTTCTAAATTCTAATCTTTTCTTGATTTAAAGTCAGGAAAAGTGCTACTTGCACACTTTCCATTCTTACACATCTAGGAGCCTAGTCAAGGTATGGGCCGGGAATACAACGAGAAGCGAATGCTTTGGGCTCCCTTCATTAGAAAATTATGTCCATTTGTGTCTAAAATAAAAAGAAACATTCCTTTTCTTTTCTTTTTGGTAAATGAAAAGAAACATTCTAATGGCCTAATGGGCAACACAAAAAGAGAAATAAAAAATAATCAGTTAATTAATTGGTAAAGCGTCCTTTTTGTACTCAAGACTGAATTGCTTTTTTTATACAAATCCAGCAACACTAAAATGCAACATGTCATTTATGTTGTTAGTACAAAATTGTTCAATGTCCATTGACATACATTAAGCCAGAACTCTGTCCATCAGATCAGACTCCATCTCCATGTAAAAAAGGATTTGAGGTTGCGAGCACCACATAATGTAATGTAGGTGTAGAAATTAATTAAGCCGAAAAAATAAATCAGTTTGGTAAAAAGATGTTCGTCAGTTTAGCATGTAAAATAAATCAGTTCTGATATTCGAAAAATAAATAAATTAATCTGTTTGGTTTAGATTACACTAATACTGTTAAAATATTTTTTTCTTACACCTTTTACTTGTTCATCCTTACTAATCTGAACCTCAACTCCATTCCCCATTGTTACTCTACGACAGCAGACACATGATTGTAACGATAAAAAGAAAATGATTGTAGTCACATGAGTTTGTAATTCTGTTGATATTCATTTCTTATTTTAAATTTGATATATTATGTCGTCGGAATTTTCTTAAAAAGTTGTTTGATATTTTATTAGGTCATTTTTTTTTAGTTCTTTACTCAAATGCTTACACTTCTTACGCATTTTGAAAAAAAATTAATGTTGAACTCGAAATTTATATAAAAGTGGAGATTACGATTCATTAGTGCCCTCTCTCTTGGCTAATAGGTCTTTCCTATTGACTGGGATATCAACTTTAGGTCAGGAAAAACAAAATTGAAATATCTGATTCTATAAAAATAATAATCATTTTGGTTTTCATTCAAAACAAGGGGAAGGATATAATTATCACAAAAAAAATTTACAATCTCTACAACCAACCTAATCAGTATTAATTTCTGTCAATCTAACGGTTATTATTTATTGAAAATTATTGAGTCGTATTTATTAATTAATCACCAATGAATACTTTTTATTTTATCCGAACTATGAATAAAAACCGAAATCTTTTCATAATTTTTCTTTTTACTATCCTTATCTCTTGCCCTCTCGAATGAGTAATAGTATGACAATGATACCTTATCTCTCAAGTCGTACAAGTCAAACAACACAATTCATAGTCGGTGTATAAGATAATATAATCAAGAGGAGGGTTATTCTTACTACTAAAATTTTTTACTATCAACTTACTACTTATCTAATCACCATTGGATCAACATTTTTTCTTTTTTCAAATTTTTTTTAACATTCTCTCTCTTTGATTCAATAGTGATTAGATAAGTAATAAATTGATAGTAGAAAATTTTAGTAGTAAAAATATCCTCCCTCTATAATCAAATCGCCACGGATTGATTGATAGGATAACATGTGTGATCCCAATCAAACGGATGAAAACTTCGGTAGTGTAATGGGTGAGACCCAGTGTTACATGTGGCGAGAGAAAGGTCAGAATGATATGGTCTCAAAATCAAAAGCTAAATAAAGCGAACAAGCGTAGATTCATTGACACCACATGTAACGCATGCTTTTCCAGGATAAAAAAGGTACCAATTTGAATATAGCTTGAGTAGCGATTACAGTCAAGGAACAATAAATGTCAAAAAAGGAAGCGTCATGGTTGCTTGTTTGAGGCATTACGCGGTACCATCTGAATTGGGGAACGATAGATTATGATCAAATTCCAATCTGCCGAGATTAAGATTCTCTGTGGATGATTATGGTTCCATTATCGTATGCCTCCCCCCAATTTCTGGACTCTCGCTTATGTGAGTAAGCTACTTAAAATTGAAATTTTTATGTAAAATTAAAAAAGGGATAAAAAAAATTGTAAAATATAAAATTATAATGTAAAATTATCATAAAATCGTAATTCTATTTGACATATTGATAAAATCATTTTCCTCACCAAAAAATAAAATAAAATCATTTTGATGAAAAAAATTATAAAAACATAAAATTATAATAATAAATTAAGATTTTAACTATCATAATTTAGACATGTGAAGCTTGTTAGTGAGTGGTGAGTCACATGACCCAAAAAACCAAATGCATTTCCATTTAAAGGACTTGTGGATTTTTATTTTATTTTATTTTTCAGCTTTTTGACCAGCACTTCATGCTATCCCATCAAACCTCAAAAGCTCAAGGATATAATCAGCTCCTCGCTGACCGCTGTTGAACCCAAGGAATTTAATTTATATAGTATCAGTATTTCTCCTGTTAGATGAATAAATTTATCTCCTCCAAACTAAAATTAACGTTGTTTTAGAATTTGAAAAATTCATGTCGCACAAGAAAAGTAAAATTTTAAAAATATTATATAATTTTTTTATCCAAAGTTATTTTGAAATTTTGGGAGATAATTTTATCTTGTGTGACAAGAAAAATATTTTTTTATATAATCATGATATTATTATTTTGAAAGTAACTCAAAGAAAGAATATATATTTAATAAACAGTGTGTATTTAATTCTAATAACACGTTCTATAATTTCTATATTTCATAAATAGTGTGCCTGAAAAAAAATATTTCTTATTTCTCTCTATTTGTATTCTTATATTTCGGATTCATTGTGTACAATAGAAAATAAATTATTTTTATCAAATAATATTTTTAACTATTTCTATATCTGAAACTAAAAGTATATATATATATATATATATATATATATATATATATATATATAGTCATAACCGTTGATTTTTGTTAATTAACGATTATCATTTATTGAGAATCAAAATTGTTAATTAATTATTAATTCTTAATAAATAATAACAGTTAGTTGACAGAAATGAAATCAATTGATAGAATTTGATGTCAAATTTTAAAGTTTGACACCAGTATATATATATATATATATATATATATATATATATATATATATATATATGGGACAAGATCATCTTACACCGGTATAAGAATAATAAATCTTACACCAAATCCTAATCATTGATTTTCTACATCTGACGGTTAAGATTTATTAGGTCTCACTCATTAATTAATTTTTAATTCCCAATAAATCTCAACAATTGGATGCACGGAAATCAACGGTTAAGATTTGATGTAAGATTTATTATTCTTACACCGGTGTAAGTTGATCCTATCCCTATATATATATATATATATATATATATATATATATATATATATATTTCGTACCACAATATTGGGTCAGGATTACTACACCTAAATTTTACAATATTTACTTTGTTTCTTAGGCTTTTACTTCTTTCACTAATTATCGTGATAACCAAGATAATGTAGATGTTACTCTTGTTTAGTATTTTATGTCAACTTCATGTCGCTTTGGAGATGTATACTGAAAAATTATTCATGTATTGATAAACATCATGACTTTTAAGCTACACCCATCTTTCTTAGTGTATGCTGCACACTTGCTTACTTTGTCTCGTGCGTCATAATTTCAAAAATTAGAGTGGTACAGTGGGAGTAAAAAAAAGTCATAAATGAATGGAAAATTAATCTTAAATAATGGTGAACCAAATTTACCATTTGGTCCAATTAAGCCCCATATATATGTGGCCCACTCATTAGGGGAGAATCCCCGTATTCCTTGACGGCCACCATTTACAAGCAATAACTTTATTTTCATTCATTATCAAACAGGTATATTCCTTACCTTAATGCTACATATCTTTTACTAATACAGATATGACTTGACCATCGTATTATCTAGAGGTACACACTATTATAAAACACTTATGAACATAAATGTATTAATAAACTAAATTGAAAAATTAAAAATATTGGTAATAGAATAAAAAAGCACAAAATGAACTGTCAAGAACAATTAAAAGATTAACTAAGTTCTAATTTATCTGTAGTGAAATAAACGAGGGAAAATTTACAAAGCAGTCTCGTATGATATCATAGATACTAACTACTAAACAAAAAACAAGACCGCGAATATCCGCACAGCTATGTTGCGGCCCAACTTGAAATTTCGCTTCTCACTAACATTGCCACCCTGTCAGCTCACCACCTTGTTATTTCCAAATTCCAACACAACCAATGATGAACACTTTCTACTCTCTGTCTTTGCTCTTTTCCTATATATTCAAGTTTAATGCTATCCCCTAATTCATTCATTCGTGTTATAACCGAAGCTTTGTTATTGCCACCAACTTTCAAGGTTGTAATTGCACTGTGACCACATAATACGTAATGGAAGAAGAGAAGTCCAACTCCATCAACAACAAAATCGAATTACAGCCAGAGTCTGTGGAAGACTCTGTTCCCGAAGAACATTCCTCCGTTCAAGAAAAGGAATCGGAGAAACCAGACCCTCCAAACACTCTCACTACTACAGTTGTTCAAAGTAAGTTTCTCACTCTTCTTCTCGCTTTCTCTGTTGTCTTTCAGTTCCAGAGAAACTATATGCATAGTCTTAATGGAAAACTAAAATATGAACTGTTTCAATTTATTTTAATCGTTATGTAAGCTTGACAGAAACTCTTTTTATGCAAGTTTGATATTGGTCATCCAAACTGTAAAAAATTGTATCCTGCTAATATTTTCATAGACTCTTGTTGGTGATTTTTTTTGGTAGACTCTCATTAGCGGTAATTACATATGCTGAAAGCGAATTGACTATCATGACAGTTTCTTTTCTCCCTCGGAGTTTCTCTTTAATCAAACGATGCTTTGGACTCTTTTATAAATTTTCTTTTAGAGAGATAATACAGACCAGACTCTTGGATCGTAGCTGAATTTTTTAGTGCATATACTTATTTTCATGTTTAATTGCTTTTAAGGGAATCATAAATCTTTATTTTCTTTTTGGTAGCATCGTATTCTAAAGTTGGTAATTGATAACAGCACAAGAAGCTAATTGATTTAAAGTCAGGATATTCAACTGGCTGGGGAGTTTGGAAAATAGTTTAATTAGGAGTTGATGCAGAGTATAATTTAGACAGATTTGAAGAGATATGAATTTGTTTTGATGAATTTATTATATGAAACAATTGGCAACTTTCGTCATTTCCATTGATAATTGGGATTAGCTAATGTAACATTTCTGGTGTGTATATTTTGACTTTTAGTAGTTTATTCGATCTTCACAATATATATGTATGCTAATTTACACTAAACTCCATGTGGCCTAAAACTAACATATAATTTAGCCTATTAAACAAAGTACATGGATTAGGCTTAGGCATGCATGAATTTGCGTATTCTATGCTATTACTAATCATTCAACCCATCATTTTTCCATACAGAGGTTGAAGATCATGCTGGTAAAACAGATAAAGAGGATTCAATTGACAGAGGTCATTTCTAAAAATTTAGTATAAAGTTATTGAATGTTTAAGAGGTAGTTAACTTTTTCATATTGTTTCATCAGATGCTGGACTTGCAAGAGTTGTGGCAGAGAAAAGATTGGCTTTAATTAAAGCATGGGAAGAAAGTGAAAAGACAAAAGCAGAGAACAGGCAAGAGGCCATCTGATAGTTTGTTTATTCTATGACTATCTTGTTAGAAATATAAACCATTCATGTTTTGAGAGCTTTCCCTTAAGGGGATGTGTTAAGATTTATAATTTAGATGTACACCTTTCAACTTAAATTTTAACAATGAATTAATTCTCGATATATCTAGCATAACCTTGCTTGTTGTTTATTCAAATCAAAGATTAATGACTCTCTCATCAATTTATGAGGCATCCTACTGTTTCAGTGCAGGTAACTATTAAATAGTGATATTCTACATGAAAGCAATTAATTTCGTATGTTAGCCTTTTGCACATTGTTTATATCAAATAATAAGTGCTCCTTACCCGCACCCCTCTCCAAGAGAGAGAGAGAGAGAGTAAAGTTCTAGCCTAGCTTATTTCCAAGGTAAATTTCAGGCGTAAAAATTCTGTGCTTGGCTTCATTAGACAAATGCTTCACTGTAAAATCTGGGGATCCTTTTATGTGTTATTTAACTTTACTATGTTGTGAAGGAGAATCCTAACTATACAAGGATGAATCAATAAGGGAATGGGGTTATTTATTGATGGTTAAGATCTGTTGATTTATTTATTGATGGTTAAGATATTTTCATTTGACTATGTCATGTTAAATAACACACGAGATGATCCATTTCAGTAAAATTTTGAGTAACTCTCTTTTCTACGACATTATTTTACTTCAAATCCTCCTACATTTTCGAAGAAAGTGGTGAGGTTCTCCCTTATTTTATACCTTGCGAGATTTCTTTGGCATTCGCATGACTTTGAAGTGTGGAATGGACCCTGAAAGGCTGAAAATGTTAGTTGAAGAATGTATACTTCCCTTGCAAACTTACCCACTTAGTTGGCTGTAATTTTGAATAAGATACATGTCTTTTAGTCATGTGCAAATGTCAATATGATTATGAAAGCTGAGCTTGATGAAAGTGAAATGGTCACACAGGGCATACAAGAAGTTCTCTGCTGTTGGATTGTGGGAGGATAGCAAGAAAGCAGATGTAGAGGCACAACTCAAGAAAATTGAGGTAATTAACTGTAGGGTTTCTGCATGTACATAGATGTATAGTTAGCTAATTATGACTGGCAAAGAGAATTTGATCATAGTATTGACCCAAATACTTGAAAAAAAAAATGTTTTAACAGGAAAACTTGGAAAGAAAGAAAGCTGAGTATGTTGAAAAAATGAAGAATAAAATAGCTGAAATCCACCGGTCAGCAGAAGAGAAAAGGACAACTGTTGAGGCCCAAAAAAAGGAAGAATTCCTCGACCTAGAGGAGACAGCTGCAAAGTTTCGTAGCCGTGGAGATATGCCAAGGAAATTTTTTGCATGCTTTAGTGGCTAAGTTTTTTAAGCCAAATAAAGACCAAATTCTCACTGGATTGGTTACATGTTGTTGTAAGTGTGCTTTGGTGTGTTGTGTCTTCCTAGTTCCTATATGTATTATTTTAAACAAATGTGAGCAGTTCATATAAACGGATTTAAAATATTTGGACTACTATTAACTCTACATATTTTAGTTCGTTCTATATGACTATTCTCTTTCATTCGCTGTTCCCGGTGCATTTAAACTTATACCCATTATAATTTGAGTAATGCTGTATAATAAGAAGAAATTGGACAGCTTTTTGATAAAAAAAATTGTCCATATTTGACGATTATATCCCCAAAATTAAAGATCCAATCCCTCGAGAGATTTTAAATCAAGTCAAGTCTTAAGATAGTGACAACTGACAAATTATAGAAAATCACATACATAATACTAGCTAAATGGTGATTAGTGATTAGCTCTGGATCTGGAATTTTTTTTATTGTGATCCAAACTCATATCACTGTTTTGTGGTCTTTTTTCAAAAGGGGTAAAATTTCATTTCATTTATATTCTTCTTTTTTTTTCAAATTTTTCCTCTGTCCCTTTTTCTTACTATATTTAGAAAAGAAGCTGTTGGGCCGGGACCACAGCAAACAAGCTCCTGGATCTGATTCAATTATCAATTTTTGAATTGCATAAATGAATTTTATTTTATGTCATGATTGATCAAGTCACACAAGTATGAAACACCCCAAAAATCACTTAATTAAAGTTGAGGGACTTGAATTAACAACACATTTATGTTTACATATAATTTTAGTCTGTATCCATCATCATTCTCTAAAAAAAGAAAAAAAGAAAAAAATTGTAACAACTCATCCTTCAAATGATGTTTTAGAATTTTCTTTATTTTTAACTTCAACAATCACTTTTAATATTTGTTTACATTTTGATGTAAGTTTGTTGTAACAAATTTTTATGATAAATAGCGATGAATATTAATGAGAAAAAACAATCAAAATAATTTTTCTCTCTTTTGCTCGATCCACTACCGAATCTCCTTCCTCAATTTGATTTTCCATCATTTGTGTGTGTGTTAGGTTTGTTCCTCCTTTATTGCTTTGGCGATTCAATAGATTGAATATTTATTGCATAAGACTCAATGTCGTAACAACCCTAACAAATGTGAAGAAATTAAGAAAATCGAATGAAACGTGAAAGAGAAAGTTGAGCTAACCTGTTTTAGGGAATTCCGCTATAAAGAAGACCAAATGTGTATTACTCTTTAGAAAAGAACTTTGTGTATTTCATCTTTGTGAAGGTGAAGATAATTGTTTAATCCTCTATTGTTTACTAGGGAAGAACTATTGTAATCTTCTATTATTCTCATAGTGATTTTTTTAACTAGGTCTTACGATTTTTACGTCTTAACATTTGAAATGATTTTCCATATTATAAATTGATGTGTATATCCTTTGTTCTCTTTTTAGCAGTTTATGTATTTTCTGCTCTTTTGGGTTGATTTGTTAATATATCGACCTTCAAGTGTCGAGTATCGAACTCCACTTGACATTATATTGTTTGTTAATAATGATTTTAATTGATTGAGTAAAATGGATACATGACAAAATATAAAGGAGTGGAGGTTGTACAAATTCTATAACTCACCTTAAAGTAAATAATAAACATAATAAACTAAAATAAAATATTATTTATATCTCTAATACTCTCCTCAAGATAGCGGGTGAATAACATGAACACTCTATCTGGAGAAGAAAAAAGCCTAAAACGAAACTTCACGGAATATAAGCCGAAGAAATCGATAGCACAACAAATTAACTGGAATGACCATCAATTTGAAGAGCTGATAAAAAGATAGTGATGGAATGGACATCAGTTAGAATATGCTGGGATGGACATCCGCAAAGTAAGGAATATCAACCTAAACAATAGTGCTGCGATTGAGATAGATACCAACGGAGCCACTGTAACTAGAATAATCTGTGGATCAAGCAACAGTCGAGATAAATGCTTCCCCTAAAGCGGAGGCAAAAAAATAATAATGGAAAAACAAGATACAAGTCAAAGCAGACTTGAATAACACCACAAACATATATGGGAATAAAATCAAATTGGCCAAATAAAAGCATAATCATAACAATATGCCAAACAATGACGAAGTAAAAAATAGAGATCAAATCAAGCCATATTAGTGTTGGAAATCGACAATCACACAGAATCGAGAAAACAGAAAAAGAGATAAGAGTAGAGAGATTAACACGATGATTTACCCTGGTTCACCCAATATAGGCTACGTCCAGCTTGTCTGTACTATATTCACCTCACCGCCACTCGTTACAAGTCTCTCGGTTTACAAGGCAAATATAAATAGGATTACAAAAAACCCTAACAGCAGCTATTCATGGGCCCAAGCCCAAACTGCTAAGAAAATTACAATAGAAACAGAGGCCTAAACATTACCTAGCCTCTACGGGCCTGGGGGCGCTGCCCCCCGGACCCCGCCCGCTCACTTGGGAGCGGGACCCCAGTTGCCTTTCTGCTGACCCCGACAATTAGGGCCAACATCATCATGTGAAGTATGAGCCATACCCAACAATTAGACTTGAATAAAAACCATAAAAATAAAAAATAAAATCCATATCAGCCATACCAAACAATATGCTAAACAGAGGAAAACAAAAATCAAAGGGAGCATGAGGTATTGATCCAACGGCGGCACAGTCGCAACACTGTCGTTTAGGCCGATGTCCATTCCAGCACTGTCTTTTTACCAGCTCTTCAGATTGATGGTCATTCTAGGTGATTTGTTATGCTATCAATTTCTCTGGCTTATGTTCTGTGAAGCTTCGTTTTACTCTTCTTTCTTCCCAAGATGGAGTGTTCATGCTATTCATCGTCCATCTTGAGGGGAAGTATTAGAGATATAGATAATATTTTAGTTTAGTTTAGTTTATTATGTTTGTTATTTTACTTTAGGGTGAGTTGTAGAGTTATTATAACCCTGCGAATGACAGAGACACGAACGAAGACGCTGACGACGTGCTTGGTCTGTGGCGTTAGGTGGACGACGTGCTGGTCTGTGGCGGCACAACAGTGGTTGACAACGGTGGCTCTAGGTAGATTGATGAAGGGAACAAACGGAAAAAAAATAGCAACAAAGAGAAGAGAAAAAAAATGACGGCAACGAATGGAGGATAAAAGGTTTCTTCTGAAATCGAAGGTAAAAGAGAGAGAATAATAATTTTAATTGATTGATTAAAATGGATACATGACAGAATATAAATGAGTGAGGGTTATAATAACTATACAACTCACTCTAAAGTAAAATAACAAACATAATAAAGTAAAATAAAATATTGTCTATATCTTTAATATTGTTTGTACACTAATAGAGGGATCCCGTCCTAACATTATATAACTCATGATCTTTTTTCGATTTCCCTGGTTAATCTCCTCTCCTATCCAATGTTTTCACATGATAATATTTACTACAATTAGCTAGGTGGGGTGGTAGAAGCAAGAGAAGGCACAACTATCAGTATGTCATATTTTTTCAAACTAATTCCCAATATGCCACGACGTGAAATTTTATCGTCAAAATGTATGTTTTCCTATCCCACTAATCCCACGTGCACATTTAGGTTCTATCACATTGCAAAACTTTGAGTTTGTTTAATTGTATTATGTTTTTTATTCTTAAAACTGTTTTGTAGAATAGTTAATAAAATAAATATTTTATGTGTTTTTTTTTAAACTCATATATATTCTCTAAATTTGATTTTAGAAACTATGGAGCAGTTATAATTTTTGAAACTATTTTTACAAAACAGGCCTTATCAAAAAGATTTTTTTATTTTTTGGTTTTGAAAATAAAAAAATTATTTTAAAAAACAGAAATCAATCAAGCCCTTTAGTTCTCCGTCCTAAATTTCACTATTTCTCCCACTTTTATTATTTCACTCAACATAAATTGTATTAAATTGATATTATTTTTTATCGGTAAATTATTTAAGTTAAATAATAATTAATCATGCAAAATAATTTTAATCTATATGTGTATATTTTGAAATTTTTATAAATTCAAAAATATTAAATTTATTATAAAAATAAAATAATATTAATTTTTTTTCTTTCCCATTTGTAATATAAAGGAATCATCGAATTTTTAGAACAAAGAGAAAAGGAAATCAAATGCTAATTTATCATTATCAATAATAAATTTGATATAGTTAAATTTTCAAAATTTTCCACTAATTTATGATTTTAAATATTTTTTGATTAATAAAATTTTCAAATTTAATTTAATATCAAAATAATAATAATAATAATAATAATAATAATTAATTTATCAAAATAACTATTACTTAAAAAAATTTCGGCAACTAAGAAAATTAAATATTTTTTTTGGTGTGGGGGCACTGCCCCAAAACAAAAGTGAAAGAAATTACATCATAGAATATTTAGCCCTGTGTACAGAGTTAAAATCAGAAAAATACAACCACCTAATATTTGGAGGGGAACATGAAAAACAATAAAATCTTTTTGATCTAGCTTCAGCAGAGGGAGATTAACTAGCAAGTCCGGGCAACTATTTTCTTCCCTGTATGTATGTAGCATTGTAACAACCTAACAAAAGAACATAAATTATCAATTAAATCAATTAACATTTAAAAAAAATATTGTGCAATTCAAATTGCTGATTATTTGAATCATTCTCCCAACAATTAAGCAACCCAACTCACTCATTGTGAGTATGCGAATTGAGTTATGAACAATCACATGGAGATTGACCGTAGTGTCTCCTTTTTAAATATAATATATCTAAATATATTATATAGAGTTGAATTTTTTTTTAAACTTGTTATGTCATCATAATCACTGAAATAGTTAACTATTATAGACTAGACACGTGTCACGTCTCCGGCGGCTGAACACGCAACTCATTCAATCCAAAGTCGCTACATAAAGTAGCTATTTTGATGTTCCAGCCGCTAGACAAATAACACGTGTCTCGTCCATAATAACGGACTATTTCAGTAATTATGGTGTCTGAAAAAAAATTCTAACTCTATAATATATTTAGATATATTATATTTAAAAAGAGGACAAAATGGTGAATGTCCCACAATCATAACCATTTGATACATCGCATTCGCAACACAACACAGCACAATCAAACCGAAACCGGCATTTCTAACAACACGTGGACTCCTAACAGACTTAATACTGGAAGTTGGAACTATAGATCCATTGTAATATTTGGTTTTACTTAACCATCCAAGTAAATTATCGTTATTTTTACATTCTCAACCAGATAAACCGTATATATATACACACATACACATACGTACATACATATATTTATTGATGTTTATTACAGTGTCAATCAATGCTACCAATCCCAATCCTCTTCTCTCGACTCTCAAGTCTCAAGGTCAGAGTCCAATGTTCACGCCCCAAGCGTTCCAGAAGTCTCCGATCCTGAAATTCCTTCGCCCTCCTGCAGAAGAAAGCGCTCGGTCACTGGATTAGGGTAACTAATCATTTGATTCCAGCTGATTTAGGATTAACTCTTTGGTTTTGATATCGTGTTTGATTTTGTTCTTTGCTTCAACTTTAACCTATTCCTTCTAGCCAAAATGATGCTTGGGTGGGGAAAATTAAAATCCTCTTCTCTTGCCCGCTTTTATAATTAATTACTCGGTAATTTTTTTTGCAAGTTTAGGTATCTTTATTTTATTATATTTTATTTTTTTTGCAATTTTAGCGAGACCTTCAATATATTCGAAAACAGAAATTTATTCATACGAAGATGGTGTGATACGTGCCTTAAGTTGCAGTGAAAGGAAAATATATATAAAAGTTAAACATGAATGGTTGCTCTCTAGGTGCTATAGACAATGCCGCGTTTCCTGAGCTGAGATGAAAACGAATAACATGGATCTTGGGATTCAGTGATCTGTATGAGGAACTCAACTTCCATGATCGGCATCCTCTTTATGATTTGATAACCTTTTATTTTATTATTATTTTGTGTTTTGTGATGCTTGTCTAGTGATAATTTGTTTTGGAAACAACATGTGTTGGAAAAGAGCACGAGATGAATGAATGTTTAGTTGTATTATTGCGTTTGTTATTTCTGGCTTCATTGTCTATTTTATTATTCATTGTGTCTCCCAAACAAAGGCTAAAAGACTATGGTTATTCATGGCTTGTGCAATTTTTGTTTATTCGACTTGAATTTGATGGGGAATCTGTGTAAAATATTGTTCTCTATATTGTTCCTGGAATTACTTTCTGACCAAAATACTAGGGGGAAGTGATAAGCATATTACGGTATTTGTCTCATAATCTTGTTTCACTGAGTGATAGGAGGAGAATCTATTTAATGTGCCTTTATGTTCAGATGCCACTTGATTGTATCTTATCCAGTCTTCTTTCTCTACTGCTTTTTCGTAACATGAATTCTTTTCTGATTCAGGAGATGCAATACTGGATGGTAAAAACCCCAACTACTATCTTGGAGGTCAAGTCTAAGCTTCTAATATAGTGCTGATAATCATGTCTTCTTGGTACAATGAGAAAAGTAAGAATGAGTGGGAATAAACTTAAATTAGGGAAGCAAGGAAGAAATTTTGGGCTCTGAAAAAAGTTGATATTTTCTCTTAGATAACTTCACCTCCCTTCTGAAAATGGGAAAAACCCAAATTGAAAAGTCTAAAACATCAAATAGACAGATCAGTAGCAACACAAAATGCAAATTTAATCAGGTGAGCACAAAGTTTGAATTTTTATTATTTTTTGGTATGGTGTTTTCCCCACCTAGCTAAGTTCTTATCACTTACCTCCTGGTTGATGTTTGACAATTTCAGATTGGAGAGAAAGCAAATGAACATCCTGAATGGTTACCTGATGGCTGGAATGTGGATTTCAGAACTCGAAAAAGTGGTGCAAATATGGGACATGGGTATAAGGTGGTAGATAAAGTCTCTTTAACTAGTGATTTGGATATTATTGTTCCAGATCAATGGCAACTTTAGTTAATTGTCTTCAATCATTTTTATCTACTTTTTTTTTTTTTTTGTCCAGTAAGTTCTGATTCTTCCTTAAATAACACTTTCTGTTAAGTTAGGAGCTAACCATTGTCACAAATGCACCCTTGTTGGGAGGAGGGTGTTTGAAAAAAGAAAATTTAGAAAAATTTGAAGGAAGAGAACACTTTATTTCTACTCAACTCTTTTTCTTTTAGCTTGATACAAAATGGTGGATAACACTCCTATTTATACTAGTGGCATCTCCTTAACCAATGGCTAGGATTGTGCCAACACAATTTCATTTAAGGGCTAGTTGCCACAACTTTTTGTTCGCAAACGTCTTTTCCCACATAACTTCTCCCCCTCTATCGGATCTCATGGGTTTGATCTCGCGTACACTTTCATTCTCTACACTGGCCTTGAACTTCTTGAACACTCCAAACACCTTCGATTTTTGCTTTAGGAAATACACTCATGTCTTCCTTGAGAAGTTGTCTATGAAAAGAAGAAAGTAATTACTCTTACCGAAAGAGCTTGGCTTCAATGGTTCATATATGTCCGTATGTGCGAGCTCAAGTGGCTTGTTGGCTCTTGATAAGGACTCATTTGGAAAGCTTTTCCGACATTGCTTCCTAAGCAAACACCCTTCACAAAGTTGATTCGGTTGACTGATGGAAGGCAATCCTCTCACCATCTCCTTCTTGTATAGCAATTCAAGAGGATCAAAGTTGAGGTGTCCAAATCACAGATGCCATAGCCAAGATGCATCTTTGTAGCAAGCCCTGAGACACTTTGCAATGTCGTGTTGAATGTTTAACAAAATCATTCTATTTCTTGATATAGGCACTTTAGCATTCAAGTTATTTTGATTGTCTCTTAAAGAAAGATTATTATTCTTTAAGTAAACATCATACCCTTTCTCTAAGAGTTGCCTCAAACTCAAAATATTATTTTTCATGTTGGGCACATAGTAGACGTTGGAAATGAATTTGTCCCTCTCGTCCTTTAATCGGATAAGAATTTTACCTTTGCCTTTCATTGGTGTCTCTGATTCATCTCCAAACGAGACATTTCCATTCACCGATTCATCAAGTTCCACGAACATGTCTCTTTTCCCAAACATGTGATTGCTTGCCCCCGAGTCTAGATACCATGTATTCTCTTGTTCCCCTACGTTGTTTTTGCGTACCATAAGCAATGTGCCATCTTCGTGACTCTTATCTTCCACATAGTTTGCCTTCTCCTCAATCCTTCTTGTAGGGACTCTACATCAGAAGCATAATGGCCAAACCTTTGACAGTTGTAGCACTTGATTTGAGACTTGTCACGTCTTTGTTGGGAGCTACCTTTTCCACGACCTCTTGTTGAGCTCTCTCTTCGATCTCCATTGCCATAGTTGTTGTTGAAGCCTTCACTTCCACGCCCGCAACCTCTTCCTCGACCATGATATCCTCCTCGTTCTCTTCTATTGCTAAAGTCTTCTTCCTTTTCTTTGGAGTTAAGTTGCGTCTTGAGTAATTGTTCACCATCCCCTTGCTCCTTCTTTTGCTTCTCCTCGAATGCTTGTAAAGAGCCCAAGAGTTGCTCTATTGTCATAGCTTCCAAATCTTTTGTTTCTTCTATGAAAGTGACAATATGATCGAATTTCGGATCTAAAGATCACAAAATCTTCTCCTTAATTTTTATATCATCTATCTTTTCACCATTTCTTTTCAGTTGATTAGTCATCATCAAGACTCTGAAAAGTAGTCGGAGATACTTTCGACATTTGTCATATGTAAAGTTTCGAACTCACCTTTTAGAGTTTGGAGACACACCTTCTTGACTGGCTCTGCACCCTTGTAAGGGGTTTGTAGCTTCACCCATGCTTCCTTTGCGATGGTTGCCTCCGAAATCTTCTCAAAACCATCATCATCTATTCCTTGATAAATGAGATTGAGAGCTTTCTTGTCTCTCTTTCTTGAATCCTTCAAGCTATCCCTTTGAGCTTGGGATAGAGTAACTCCTTGTGGTTCATTGTAGCCTTTCTCTACCATTCTCACACATCTTGTGATCCAAGGAAGGAGGGCCTTCATCTTGATGCTCCAATTATCATAGTTGCTCTTGGTGAGCATAGGGACTTGGAAAGCAACCATGTTGCTACTTGTCATTTCTCTAGAAAGGATCTTTATAGCTCTGATACTTCTTTGTTGGGAAGAGGATATGTGTGAAAAGGTAAATTTAGAGAAATTTGAAGGAAGAGAACACTTTATTTCTACTCAACTCTTTTTCTTTTGCCTTGATACAAAATGGTGGAGAACTCACCTATTTATACTAGTTGCACCTTTTAACCAATGGCTAGGATTGCGCCAATACAATTTCATTTAAGGGCTACAAATGACTCTCTAGAGTTTTCTATAATCTCCTATCCGAAATATTAATTATAGTAGGTACAACAATTCTCTAGAACTCTAATGGAGTAGTCTAGAGTAGACTATTCTAGAAATTATGCTAAATAACTTCTAAAGATTATTCTAGAGGTTTGGCCAAATAACTATCAAGTCCAATTGACCCAAATCAAGTTTATTATTTAACAACCCCCTTTAAACTTGATTTTATGACTCCCATTGTTGAATAATAAACTTGATTTGGGTCAATTGGACTTGATGGTTATTTGGCCCAACTTCTAGAATAATCTTTAGGAGTTGTTTAGCCTAATTTCTAGAATAGTATACTCTAGACTACTCCATGAGCGTTCTATAGACTTGTTGTACTATCATAATTAATGTCTAGGCTAGGAGATTGTGCAGAATTCTAGAGAATGATTTGTTGCCCTTGGATTAAATTGTGTTGGCACAATCCTAGCCAATGGTTAAGGAGGTGCCACTAGTATGAATAAGTGTGTTCTCCACCATTTTTTATCAAGCCAAAAGAAAAAGAGTTAAGTAGAAATAAAGTTTTCACTTCCTCCAAATCTTCTAAAATTTTCCTTTTCTCAAATATCCTCCTCCCAACATAATTGACACTATTAGTCTATAACTTGCACATTCCTCACATGTGTATTTGGCCTTGAAACACAAAAATAAGATTCTGTACGAGATCTATAGTGGAAAGGTTCTTTGAATATCTTAATTAAGAAAGCAACCCCTAGGGACCTCTGGCTAAACTGTTCAGTGCTTGGGTTGTTCATGGCATGAACATCACATGATCACCTAGACATGTCCATAAAATATACACTTGATTCTTAATTACAATCATGGCTTTTAGCTTATTGTATGATGAAACCTCAATTTGGAATTAAAAGAAAATTTAGTTACAGAATGCAGTGACAGATTAAAAGGAAAATGAGACACTCCTAGCAACAACACTATGATAATGGCTGATACAGCCTTGAAAGCAACAAAACACCAAAATAAAAGATAACCAGGGGACTCCCCGGGACCCCTCTTCCGAGGAGATCCCCACGGATTCTTCACTACCAATAACCAACTATTATAATCCACATGCCTTCCCGTTCCCACCCACATACATTATATAGACCCTCAATCTCTCTCTTCGAATAGTTAAACGTGGGCCCACTTATCCTAGCCCATCATTGTACAACTTTATTTTGTTCTCCACATGTGTTTGGCATATGACCAGTTGTCCTGAATTGGCTTGAGCTGGGTTTTGGGAGATATCTTTTGAGGCCATACTTAAATTATTTGCAATGGTTATATTCGCTAGTACTTTCTCTACTCGTCAATTGGTGTGAATATGTGATTCTGTACTCCTTGATATTTTATTTTCTCCTGCTCTGTTGTTGGAATATTAATTGTTTGGTACATTAATTACAGAATTGCAATGTGGCTTTATCCTTGCTTTGTACTTTCGTTCTGCTCTATTAATTAAATTTTGAAATAATAAAGTAAAAATTATTCGTAAAATATCTGCATGAATATGTTGTTTACTTGTTATGTATTTGTTGGTTGCCATTAATAATGCATCTTCTCACACTATAAATCTGTGTTTCTTGTTGCAGTGTTATATTGACCCAAACGGAAACAAGTTCTACTCCAAACCGGAGGTGTTACGATATCTTGAAACTATGAAGGGCAACAGCCCCACTTCCAAGGAGGAGATATGCAATACCATGCGTTCTCCAAAAAACAACGTCTGTATCTCTATATCACTCTTCACTAATTTTCTTTTCGTTTTTTCGTTTTTAGTTGTGAACTTTATTATCAAAATGATGACTTTTATTTATTTTTTATTGTCATCTGCTATAATGCCAAAATTCACAGAAAATTGGCTAAATGGACGAATTGGGATTGATATCGACAATTCTAGTTCTCGAAAAACAATGTTTAGAAATTCAGCAACTCATAATTAGAGTCTTAAACACCCTTTTATATGGTGTCAAATAATCCTAAAACACAATTAAAAATAAAATGAAAAATTACAATATTGGCATTGGAAATATAATAAGCCTAAAATCCCCAAAAAAATTATGCATGTATGCACGTCGCACGCACGCATGATTCTAAGCCAAATATAGGTGCACTGTTGTGGGACATGTACGATTGATTATTTGCATAATTGGAATTTTTTTGTAACGTATGAAGCTATAGTCACGCTGGAATTAAAAGATAATTAAGAGGGAGTTTTATTTTCTTAAATGTTCGTGATTAAAGGATCTTTCCATTATTGGGAATGGATCTGCTCATGTTTAATTTTAACATGACCATATTATGCGATGAATCTGTAAGATTCAATGATAATTCTTCAAAATATAATTAGTAAATTTTGCATTTTTTTTAGATGACATAAAATGAATTTACAAAGCAGCGTTATATGAAACTAATACTATTATCTAACTGAGCTTTCATTCTGAAACTACAAAGCAAGACAACTGCAGATGCAGTCGAAAGATAATATGCGGATTGCTTCTTTTAAAAATATTCTTCATGATATTGATTATTGGATAAATCTATTAAAACAACTAAATATTATTAGAACTTGGAATTTATGAATTATCTTAATAAAATTGTTGTCCAGTATGTAGTTTTCATGGTTTTGGAGTGTTGTTTTAGGATGCGGTTGAGAAGTCCAAAGTGGAGGATTTGCCACCGGAGTGGATAGTAGAAGTCAAGATTAGGAAGGGCAGCAATGACAATAGGAAAGATCTGGTATGAAATTTCATTTGATTCGTGCTTTGTTGCCCCTCTCCACTCAAAAGAGGAACTCTTTTATGTATCTGAAATAAAAATATGGGTATTTTTCTCTTTTTTCCATCAAATCTAGTGTTTTTATTTTTTCCCTTTGGGGAGGTGGATTACAAATCATAATCAGTGCGGCTTATTACATTATAGTGCAATATATTACATAGTGATATACTGCATTTGCAGTTTCCCAAATGTTTAATGCTTACATAAGTTATGATTGGGTTATGCTTCCAACAGCTTTATACAGATCCAGTGAGTGGATATGTATTCCGTTCCAAGAAAGATGCACTGCGCTATCTTGAGTCTGGAGATATAAGTACGTGTGCTATTAAACCAAGTAAAAGACAAATCCAAGATGAACCCAAATCAACTGTAAGGATTGTTTTCTCCATGAGTACTATCTTATAATTGTAGCTTTTATTTAGTAGGCCCATTTACTTTGAACCTGTAAAAGATTAAAAGAAGAAAGAAAATTTTATCAATCAAATTGGACTTAAATTTATTTTGAAAATAATCTATGCCCCTGCAAAAATAAGTAAATTTGAGTTATCTTCAAAATTCTAATAATTAAAGGCTGACTGAAATTTCAGTTTCTATATTTCCACTACAACATGTATTATGCATGCTCCTATTGCAATTCCAGTTTCGATATTCACTATAATGTTCTATCTTTCAGTGGGTTATTCTGTTCATCTGCTAAAAAGTGTATATGGGTTCTTAATTATTTTTCAAAGCAAAATTGAATTTGGTAATTTCATAACATCAAATTCAAGCATTTTGAGGGACTTCCTTTCCATGAAAACTGTCTCCCACTTTGTATTAGCTGGTAATAACTGTTCTTTATTAAGCTTTGTCTTCCTGAATAATATCCTGTTATAAAGGCTCCTTTTGGAATGAATTGTCTATAAGCCAAGCTTGCTTTATAATATGGGCCTCCTAACAAATCAGAAATATATTTATTTTTGTTTGTGTGAAATCAGGGTGAGTATACTTATAAGTCGTGTTTTGTTTTTGTTCAATCTAGCCAACATCTGCCAGCAAAAAACAGAAACTAAAGCTGTCTGCAACCAAACGACAACTTTTTGTAGGTAAGAAATCTTAAATGATTATATTTAGAATTGGCTGGTCAATTGTTCTACAAGTTTATCCAAATCACGGGTTTAAGGAATATGCCATTTACATCTAAAACCCATTTCTTTCTATTTGAAACTTGTTAATGCAGGCAAAGAAATATCTGATGAAAGCACCTTAGAATTGCCAGATGCTAACAGCTTGAAAAAGGGACAAGATGTGATGGCGTGTTCTGGAGGAATGGTTTCTTCTGTTCCTACAGGTAAATCTGTTGTCAAGATTCAATCACTAGAGAATGCAGCTGCATACCCTCCAAAAATGAAGAAAACATCTGATCCAGGTAGCTCAGCATTGTTACATGTTAAATTTGAATCCTTTAAAGAATCAGAAAAAATGTTCCCTGCTGAAGATGGATTTCACTTAAATCCTGCAGATGATGTGCAAGAGAAGAATCTTATTGTGAATGTGATGGAGAATGCGAGTAAAACAAATCACAATAACCGTAGTTCATCCAAAAACAACGAGCTTAGTCTGGCTCCCCGTTTTTCGCCGAGACTTGCTGGTGCAGTACCTGACCAGTTGACCAACAACATGACTAATGAACAGACTCTTCAAGTTCCAAAAAGAAACTTGAGAAAAAGAAATGTTTTAGATGCTGATTTGGCTAATAAATCATTTCAGCAGCACAAAGCTGATAATCCTCATAGTTGTCATGGTTTGGCTTCTGAAGCTCGTGCTTTGAAGGAAAACAAATTGCATGTGGGTGAGACTGGAAAAAGTGGTTTGCAAGAAATTCATTCGAACAAAACCAGCGACAAGAAAGAGTATCGTCGGGCTTCAAAACGACTTGCTGGATTTGAACCCAAGCTGATGAATAACTCCATCTACAATGAAATTGCTCCCGAATATAAAAGCAAAAAGTCTAAAGGTGAGGTCAATGCAATCTTGCACCAAAGTGAGGGTCGACCAGCTATGGAGCTTACAGATCATGCATCAATAAATGAAGAGTCATCAAATAAAAGCGGAAAACCTAAAATCTCGCCTATAAACAATGATCAACTGAAGAGACTTGATGATGAGGAAGTGAATGATGAGAAATCAGAACCTCAGCAATCCTTAGCATTCCACTATTCTTGGTCTGACCCATGCTTGGAATATACAATTCAGAGCCTCACGGGTGCATTACCAGTTGAGGATTCAGTTGGTAATGGACCCACTGGAGTTCCTGCAAATGATATAATTTCCAAAACGAAGTTGTTTGAGAATGTTACAGGAAGCAGCAGTGACAAAAACGCACATATAAATTCAAAGAAATCCAAGAACAAGAAAGAGCTGAAAATGCCTAGGCGGCTGTCAAAGCGACTTGCTGGCCATGAACCTGAGGTACTGCCTCCTGAAACAGCTCTTGAATATGCCACGAGAAAATCATGCAAAGATAAATCAACTGCTACAACGATTTCAACAAATCTAGCATCTGAGCAACTTCATGCTGGCAAAGAATCCAAGATTATTGTTCATGCGTCTGACCAGTTGAAAACAGCATTATGTAGTGAATCATCAAACAAGAGTGAGAAGTCATTTGATGCCCAAACTATTCCCAATGAACAATTGCAGAGGCTTGAAGCTGAAAATATTGATGATGACAGATCAGAGCCACAGTTACCCTTACAAATTGGGGATTCTTGGTCAGATCCATGCCTAGAATTTGCAATTAAGACTCTTACTGGTGCTTTGCCAGTTGGTGATGGTGCTGCTGACATTTTGCCTGTTACGACTCCTGATGTTAATGACCCACCAACTAAGGAATTGCTTGAGAAGAGTATCAAGGAGGAGCTTAATACGGTTTGCCATCCTTCGGAACAACTCCTGGAACAGCCTGAGTTGAGGACCAGCTTCACATCCTGTGAAAATGATCCTAAATTTGCAACTACACAGTCTTACAGCAATGAAGGCAATGCAACAAGGAATTTGGATGGAAGAGAATCCCTACATATTGAAGCTGGGAACGTAACACAATTTGATATAAACACACTATTTGAAGGGCCATTATTTGAAAATGAACAGGTTCTTGAGGGTGTATCTGTTGCGGAACAAACACAACCCGAAACTGAAACTGCAAACCATGATAATTCTGGACGAGAGTTTTGTGTTTCATTTATGGATTCTTGGTCAGACCCATGCCTAGATTTTGCATTTAAGACTCTTACAGGCACAATACCAGTACAGGAAGATATAGCAATTCAAGGATGTTTCCAGGAACATGCTAGCTGCCATGCCCAGAGAGATGGTGGCTCAATGTTGCCTGAATTTGGATCTTCCAGCATTTCTCAAAGTGATATCTCATTTCCTAATGATATAGGAGAGAAGTCCAAGACAGGGCAGCAGTCATCAACGAGCTCTTCATTCCTCCCCCTGGAAAAACCGAGCCTGCATGGTTTCTCTGGGGTTGATCCTCAAAAACACTACTCTCAGTGCAATAATAATTTTCAGAGAAGGTGAACTCGCAAAGCTGGCTAGCCCCAGGATAACTAGTTATTTTAGTGTTAATGGCTGACTGTACTTGTTTAGACAGCAAAATCAATGTCATGATGCATCCTTTTTTTTTTTTTCCTGGTGACAGTTGAGAATAACATGAGATCGGGCTTGATGTGTTGTATTCTCTGCTGAGAACATCTAGGTAAACAAACCTTGTTAAAATGTTTATGATTTGATGCCCCATCAAACTCCATGCGCGATTGTAAACCTCATATTCTGGATCTTGAAGGAACAATTGCACTATCAAGCCTGTGCTGGGCGAGATGCGTATTTTCCTTCTCTAGGTTAGTTCAAGTTTCAAACAAAACCCTTTAAGAAGAACAACGCCGCACCTGTTCCTAATAGCTAACCTGTGAAAACAGTGACAAAAACGCACATGTAAATTCGAAGAAAACAAAGAACAAGTAAGAGCTGAGAATGCCTAGGCTGTTGTCAAAGCGACTTGCTGGCCATGAACCTGAGGTATTGCCTACTGAAACAGCTCTTCAATATGCCACTTGAAAATCATGCAAAGATAAATCAACTCCTATAACGATTATAACTAATGTAGCATCCAGGCAACCCAGGCTCCCAATCAGCTTCCCATTTTGACTTTAGAAAAACCTCATTTTTTTTAACATGGATCCATTGAGCCTTATGCCCAAAATGGGCTGAGAGTAGGCCCAATTAAGCGTACCCAATCCTTCAAAACCAATATTACTGATTTTTTAGCAAAAATAAGTTCATTAATGTTTATGTGTTAACAACATTTGTCTAATTCTTTAGTGAATATAAATGGCGATAAAAGAAATTGAAGCTAAGGAAAACAGAACAGAATATCTATTTTATTAAGGGATTTATTATTCACCTATCAAAGGAGACAAGATTTTTTTCTTGCTCACTTAAAAATGATGTGGGTTTCATTTAATTTGTTTTTATTTTTTTGGTGCGTCTTTGTTAGAAATACTTAAGTGTGAGTTATAAAAGAAGTTCCGCATTGGTTAGAATTGAAACAAGTAATAACCATATAACTACAAAAGATCGATAAACCTATTGTCTTAAGATTTTGAATTAAGATATAATGTCGGGCCACTTATTATAATTTGTCACTTGACCCACTTATGAAGATATCTTTGTAAAGGAAATTTTTTTTCTTAGTTTTCTTGTAAAAGAAGACTAATAAAGCCCTTTTCTCTCTCATATTTTCTAAGTCTGCATATTTTCTAAAGTCCGCATATTTTCTTCGATAATGTCAGTTTCATACAATCTCACAAGTGTCAAAACAAATTAAATTAAATATCAACATAAACATAAATAATATAAGAAATTTTACACTCAATTTAAATCAAATTAAAATTTACTAAATATCCAATAATTAATTGCATTATATTTTTGACATTATCTTCATTAAGGTGTCATGAAGATGGATAGCCGCCCTTCACTTTTAGGGGAGGAGAAATTCTTTTTTACCGGGAAAAAATAATTTTCAGAAATATGATGGAAAAAATAATTTCAGGTAAGTTATCAAAAAGTATTTCGTAAGTCATTTTTTTTCCGAAAATGTTGGGTTAATTTTACTGATGTTATGTGTTAATTTTCTCACCATATGAGAAAAAAACAATTTCACTTAATCAATGGTAATCTTCCATAACCATTTTATATGGAAAAACAAATTATGGAAAAAAAAAATTCCCAGCCATACTTTTACTTCACCTCCTACCAAATATAGGTAAATAATTTTCCTCACTCCATTTTCCTAGGAAATTTTTTTTTCTCCTCCTACCAAACATCCCATTATAAAAGTTGAGCCACTTGTTTCCTTAGTATTCAAATTTGATAGCTTTGCTTACTAATTTATAGTCTATATAAACCCCAAATAGCATTCTTCTATTCCCACACTTCCCACTCATAAATCATTTTATTCCCAAAATGGGTTTCTTATCCAACCTCATAATATGCTCCCTCTTCATGTTGAGTGCGTGTTTGGTCACAACAACGGGAGCGGCAAATTTTGAGATAGTGAATAATTGTCCTTACATAGTATTGGGCAATTGCAGCCCTGACGGTGGTGTCCGCCTTGAACAAGGTCAGACATGGAACTTGTGGGTAGCACCTGGCACTGCCACGACTCGTATATTGGGCCGTACATGCTGCAACTTCGATGGCAGCGGTCACGGTCATTGCCAAATCGGTGATTGCCCCGGTGGACTTCAATGCACGATATTGTGACTTCAGTAAATGCATCTGCCGTAAAAATAATAAAAGTGTATGTGAGTACAAGATCGTTCCCACCAAGATTAGATTTCAATCACTAATTCACTATTTGCACTGCTTTATTTGGACAAACTAATATGAAAACTTTGAATTTAAAATTAAGATGAATAAAAAACATAAGAATTCAGAATTAAAACAAGCAATTAAAATGAAGTTGGTTTTGATAATCAAGAAAAAGTGTGATTAGGGTTTCAATTTCCCCAAATATCCTCTTTATATTATGAATTAAATAGTTAAGAAATCGCTCTTAGTATATTGCCAATCAATTCTTTCTAAATTAATTAAGGCTCAATCCCTTGTTACCCTAATTCTATGTTATCTTAAAGAACCCTAGTTCCTCGGTTATTCCTCAAGAAAACATGCATTAAAATCAAGAATTTAAAGATTGCATAATTACCATATGTCTATCCCTAGATCACAAGGATTACGATAAATTTATCAATTTCGGGTTCATACACTAACATCCCTATTGTCATGCAATTTCCCAAGGATCATTATACAAGGAGCAAACTCATAGAAAACATTACAAATAGATAAATTCATTCAATTATAAAATAAGAGAATTTCAAAGACAACTTATTTTATAAACATAAAGACTCAATTGAGTTTCATATATCCCTAACAACATAGAAATCTAGCCTAGCATAGTGAATTCAAAAACACATGAAAATAATAAAGATCCCTCATACTCCAATTATGTGATGGCATTGTGAATCTTCAAAGTTCCCAGCGTGTTCGTGAATTCCATCCACTCCCAATGCTCCAAAGCATGAAAGACGCGTTCTCTATCGCCAAAGTAGGATTCTCTCTTCTGAATTATCAAAAGCTACCTTATTGATGTCAAAAAACTCCTTTTATAATGGTGAAATCCGTGCTCTAAGTGATTCCATAAATTGGGCCTGAATTTGGATCTCACAGTGTGTTAAAGCGCTGATGAGCGTGTTTTAGCGTGTTGAATCATTGTAAATCTCTGCTTGAGCGCGCTCTTCGAAGGGAGATTTCTAAACACTAGTGCGCTGCAGCATGCTTTTTGAAGAAAAAATTGTTCATCAAAGTGCGTGTTAGCGCGCTCTTCCAGGGATCTTGGTTGTTTGCTAAAGCGCGTTCTACCACTCTTCCATTTGATGTGAATTGCTCTATATGGACTTCCTTTGATCTTCAATCTTCACCTCTAAGCCCTTTACTTCATTTTTACATTATTTTGTGTCAATTCACCTTCAAAACAAGTAAGATCGCATTATGTTAGCTCAAAATACAACTTTCATGTTTTTTCACTACAAAACCTAAGTTTTCATGCAATTGACTATGCGTAATTCATCTATTATTTAACCCTACAAACATGATAAACTAAAGATTTATCACATAGGCTGGGGTGTCCCTCCAAACACCTTGGCTGAGTTTGCATTGAACCAATTTGAAAATCAGGATTTCTATGACATCTCTCTTGTTGATGGTTTCAATATTCCAATGGACTTCTATCCCCTCAATGGTGGCTGTCAGCCTGTCACAAAATCAGCTGCCCAACTGATATTAATGGACAGTGTCCTAACGAATTGAGGACACAAGATGGGTGTAACAATCCATGCACAATGTTTAAGACCAATGAATATTGTTGCACCAATGGCCAAGGAAGTTGTTGGAGCCACTAACTATTCAAGGTTCTTCGAATACAGATGCCATGATGTATACAGCTACCCTCAGGATTAGGGTTGGCAAAAATGAGTAAACCTGTCGGGTTGGCTCATAACCCGTAAAAAATGAGTAGAGTTGGGTTGGTAAAAATGAGCTGTCAGCTCGAGAAAAAATGAGCCAACCGGTGGATCAAACGGGCCAGCTTGCGGGTTGAGTATTTTTTAAAAAATATATATATTCAAATCCTTGCAAGCTCTACTTAATCATATTTCCCAATTGATAAGCACTTTTGTCACCTAGTCCAGATTTATATGGTAATTATGTCTTCCTAAAGTATTAAAAACATGCACTCGAGTTTCCCTTTTTATATTGTTAGGTTGTGCTGGCTCTGTTTGGTTCAAATATCTTACCCACTTGGTAACAAGTGATTCTGATTGTTTCTCAATGTTGGTGCAAATTTATTGTGAAAAAAATTCGAAACTAGAACATTTTACTTTTACTTTTGATTCTGTAACCCTTTTCTATTTTGCTTTTTTTATAAACTATTTTGTACGACAATTGAATTGTTTAAACCGGTGGAAGTCACATAACTGGCGCATTAATACTACAAGTTCATTTAAATATGCTTAAAACAAACCAACCCATAAGCCATTTTTTTGGGTCAACTCGCAAACCAACCCTAACCCGACTCGGGTTGGATTGGTTGGGTTTTCTAGCTCTCTTTTTTTCAAGCCAATCTTAACTCAATTTTTTTTTTAAGTTGCACGTGAGTTGGGTCGAGTCAAGTCAGATTGGCCTATTTTGCCAACCTTAGGATGACCCAACAAGTACTTTCACATGCCCCGCTGGCTCTAACTATAGAGTTATTTTCTGTCCACTTGGTTATCCTCATATATCCCACTTTAGATGCCAGGAAGTACGACCAATGAGTATTGAAACAAAAGTGTGATCATTGTTAAGCCCTTCAACTGGCTTATAAGAAGATGAAGTTTATCGCGAAAACTTCATTTATGATAAATTGATAATCAATAAGCTCGGAGATCGCTTAGCTTTTTGTGTGCGCTTTTCTGTGTAATGAAATATATGGACGAAATAAAGGGGTAACTCCTATTAATGTACTTTTTACATATGTTATGACCGAACATCCGTAACTTTGTTAAAAATTAGAGTAAATATCTTTTTTTGATCTCAGCAAATTTCACGATACCCGCTTTAGTTCCTAGCAAATAAAAATGCTCATCGTGGTTCCTAAGAAATTCAAAATGGATTTATTTAGTTAAAATCGTAGTTCCTCAC